TATATCCAAAAATACAATAAACGTGACGTGATCGAAAACATGATCGCGACTACTATATAAATCCCTGGTTAGTGTTCTTCATTGGGGCTTTCTCACATGATGAGGAACTGACAGAACTTGGAGAGAAGTTTGGTATCTTCCTGTTCATCCGTTGACAAGCAAAATGCTTTTCTTTGCCATATTGTTGAACTGCCTTGATCCGGCTTTGACCCTAGCATGTGCCTCGGAATTCAGGGATCCAATTGTCCTTCCCATGCAGCCTAATGAAAAGCAAAAGGCCGTTGCTGCTAGGCATGAGCTTGCATCGTTGTAAGGTGGGCAAAGTGATCAGCTGGCACTTATAGCTGCTTTTCAGTTCTAGAAGAATGCAAAACAAAGGGGTCTAGAAAGACGTTTTTGTTCACGATACTTTGTCTCATCAAGCACCATTAATATGCTGTTTGGCATGCGAAAGCAGCTCCATGCTGAACTAACACGGATTGGGTTTACTCCAGACGAGTCTCAAGCTGTAGTCTGAATGCAAATCACCCTGGGATACTCCATGCAGTCCTTGTGGCTAGTTTGTATCCAATGGTGACAGGGTAAACAAGTTTTTGTAGAGGCTGCCGCTGGTAGTAAAGTTCAGTTACACTCTCATGCAATTGATTCTAAGTTATCACTTAACCAATCCAACGATTGCCCTTTGATTATTAAGATGAAATAATCCGTGGGGATGGGGGTGTGTTCATAAGGAACTGTACTGTTGTTGGGCCACTTCCATTGTTACTTCTTGCAACAGAGATTGCAGTGGCTCCAGCAAAGGGCAATGATGACAATGAAGATGATGATGATAATGATGGAAGTGATGATGGTGATGTATGTGACACTGATGGAGACGAAATGTTTATGGTTACTAAGTCTGATGGAAATGAAGAAAAGATCATGTCCTCTCCTGATAATTCTGTTATGGTGGTTGTTGAAAGGTGCTTTCACTCAGATCAACAGCACTTGATGTCGCTCAAATCTACTGCTTGAGAGAGTGATTATCTGCAGCAAATCTTATTCAAAGCAGGCACTTCAGTTGTTTTATGCGCATAAGAGCTAAAATGCACCTTGCCCACCTTCCCTTTCTTTTGTTTAATACTAAAACACATTTAGCTCGTCACCCTGAAACTTGTTATTTTCGCTTGTTCTTATATTTTGGTCAACTTTTCCCAGGTAATGCATCCAGGCCAAGTTCTTCCTCCCGTTCTTGGGTCTTCTATATATGCAGTAGCCCGCATTCTATCTTAGGATGTCTTATCAGGCATCTCAACACGAGCAGAATCTGTGGATTCACTGATTTTGAGGGTGCGTGCTACTGATATCAACAAACCCTTGCCAAGGAGGCGAGGTACGGGTCCCAATTCGAGTAGGTTCCTTCTATCACTTGTGAACCAAAGCCCGTTTGACACTTCAAGTTAACAGAAAGCTAAGGTCCCTGCGGTTGAGGCCGTAGCAAATGGAATTAAGCCCTCAAGTTGCATCGAACGGGCACCATTAATGTCAGTTGGGACGAGTCTAGATCAGGCTTTATCACAAGGCCCTATATCAGTTGCTTCTGGTTCAGACGTGTCTAAATTACAGGGTTCCAGGGGAGATTCTTTCTAGCGGCGACGTGGGAACAGGTCCAAGAAGGTTAAACAGGGATCAAGTTGATAGTCTTAAAGGCTTCATCGGAGTAGGAGATAGATAGCGGTACGTGTGGTCTATACCATTAGTTTTGAAGGTTTTGCAATCCATACAAGCCATCCTGTGACCTTGGTTGAGAATCGTTTTATGAACTACATGCTAACATAACAATCGTTTTATAATTGACTGTTCTTGCTAAATTAATTGATTTTAAATAGCCAATCCGGAGATCCGGTTTGGGTTGGATTAATGGTGTCAAATATGTCGTGTTGGGTCAGTGTAGGCAATTTAAAAATTAATGTACATGTTAATAGATGGTGCCGATCTAGTATTTAAAATTTAATCATGTTAGCACGATTTATAAAGATCAAGAATATAACACAGCATGTGACTTGTAATTTTGTGAGCTGTGTCGGTCTAATATTATTTTTCATGTTGAGTTAGGTCAAGCATAGTCTATTAATATTTTTTTAGAATTTTAATTATTTTAAAAAAATTTTATCTATTATTATAAATAATAGATAAATAATAACAAACACAAATTTTTATCTATTTAGAATTTTATCTATTATTATGAATAATAACATTTAAGAGATAACAAACACAAAATAAAATAAAATAAAAAAGATATATAATTTACATAATTCGATAAAATGTTTACATTTATGAAGATAGATAATAGAACATACTAAATAAAGATATTGAAATTAGGATTGTAATTTTTTTTAAGAAATACATACACATTATCTATTTAATGTTTAGCATTACACATATAACTAAGGTTTTGTCAATTTGTCCAATATCAAAAGTAAGTGAAATTTTAAAAGAAATTTTTGAAAAATTAGATATTATATTTTCTTTATAAGAAAAAATATTTTAAAAGAATCTAATCTAATAATATTTCTTGAAATTGTTTTATAATTGCGCATAGTATATCATTTCTAAATAAATCATTAAAATGCTTATCATTTACAAAAACAAATGGCTATTAAAATGGTATTAAAATTTTAGTTAATTGATTACATCAATTATCTTGTGAAAAATAAAATACACTTAAAGACCCATTAAAATCCCGACTAAGTGTAGTTTGTGTTGGATTATTAGAAGTGAGAGATGTAGCATGATATTTTTCCTTATGCCTTTTGAATTGACTAGTCTCTTCTTTTGTTTTACAAATAAAATCTTTTTTATATATATGTTATAAGTTTAAAATTTTTGATTATGTAACTTTGAAAAATATGTTAATTTGTTTTTATAGACACAAATTTAAATAAAAGTAATTTGTACATTAAACGATTCATAAATTAGTTAGATATAATTCATCTATCAATCATTTAAATATTTAATAAGTAAATTTATTTAAAATAATTTTATTTTATAAATTACCACAAAATAAATATAATTTCATTAGAATCTAAAAAATAACATAAATACACCCAAATGCCTATTTATAACAATTATAGGTTAACATGGCACAACATATTTGGGTTTGTATATCGTGCCGTGCTAGCTTAAGTGTCATGTGCTAACACTAATCCTTAACAGATATGCCATGCTGACCCATGAGTTTAAAAATTTTTAATCCAGTGCAACACATACACACACACATATATATATATACATATCATGCTTAGTTTGCTTGATTATTTAATGAGAAAATGCTGAATCATATTGTGTCATGGGCCATTTAACCCATTTGACACCTCTAGGTTGGATTATTTTAGGTCGGCTCATTTCAGGTTAAAGAAAAATTGAATTATTTTAACTTTGGGTCATGTTAGGTTCGAATCAAGAAAAATTATATCATTATGAGTTTAGAGTATTCAAATTGGGTTAATTCGTGTTCAGATCATTTTGAGTTATGATTATTTCAATTTCTTATTTTTTTTTAATTTGATTATTGGATCATTGAAGTTTAATACTTTGGTCATTCATATTTAAGTTTTGTTTGTTTTGCGAAAATTGATTTTTAAAAAATGGTTTTGTGGAAAATATTTACACTTTTTTGAAAAAATAATAAATTTTGTGTTGTTTGTATGATTCAATAAAAAATATTTTTTGTTATTTGGTAGTTATCTAAATTTTTTTTTCAAAAATATTGACATAACTATTAAAATATTAAAATATATTTATTATTAATATATTGAATTATTTATTATTAAAATTATCCAATATTAAAAATAAATATTTTTTATAATAATATTTAGCATTAAAATATTATATTAATATTAAACCTTTAAAATAAAATTGTTTATTATTATTTATATTAATATTTTAAAATATTTAAAACAGCATTATTATTCTTAAATATTATTTTATTAATATAATAATATTAAAAATAGTAATAATTATTATTAAAATATAAAATATTTATACTATAAAATAGTTATATTTTATATTGAAAGTATCTATTATTAAATTATAACAATTATATTAGTTATTTATATTTATTATTAAAATAGTTTTATAAATAAATTAATCAATAAAATATAAAATATATTTTAAATTGAAAATATTAAAAAATGATAAAAAATATTCTTATAATTTAAATATTATTATTATATTAAATAACATTAATAATTTTTTATTGATTGATATTTAGTTATTATTTAAAAACATTTAATGTACTAACTATTAATTTATTATTAATAATTTATCTTGATATTTCATATAATCACATTCGTCCACATTGCTCATTTGGCAATGAATTAAAAGTGAGTAAATAATTAGATAATTTAAAAAAAACCACTTTAAAATATTCGGCCCGTAACGCTCGAGCCCGTAGTCCATTATCTCCATTTGCTAATCTTCATCCAAGATTAGCTAGCAAAGCCGTGTTCGTGTTTGAAGTCGGTCTTCCGAGTACCTACACTCTCGTCTCTTTTGGGTCGACAAACATGATCCTATTTTATCATAGGAACTGTCCTCGCTCACTCATTCCACCCCACAAAAATTCCAATTCCAAGCATCATTCTCCTTTGCAACAGTTACAAGAAGTTTCAAAATTTCAAAACATTGAATGCTCGTCGTGTGAGGATGGGCTTGTCGGACGATGCAGCGGCCAACCGTTGAAATTAAATCTGGGACAGTTGGATGTAGTCAGAGAGAAATAATTCATAAGTAGTGATTTCAAAATTTGTTTTGAAAGTGACATTTTATGGATTTATGAGAATCAGAAGTCGTAATATGATTATTTTTATTTCTTTTAATTTTTTATTGAAAGTTAAACTTATTTGAATTTATTTTTAAATTATTTAATTAAAATCTTTAAATAAATTTTAAAAATTTAAATATAAAACAAACTAAAATTTAAAATTTTTTTTGTGGAATAGTAAAATTGAGTAAAATCTTCATCCCATTGTAATAAATCTTATAAAGCAATTGATTATTTGCTAAATGTGAAAAATATTTTTCAATGAATATCAAGTCTTCCTTTCTTTGATTAATAATATTAGGAAAAATATTTGTGTAGAACGTGGAAAAGATGCCGGACCTTGGCTTTAGAAACAAAAAAAAAACAAGTCAAAAACCATTCTTTCCTTAATCCCCGTTGATAGGTTCCTTTCATTTCATTTCCGTTTTTGTTAATATATTAGGTGATTCGACTGTTTGTCGCTGTATATATTTTATATTTATAAATTCCCAAAATAAAGAAAAAGAAAACAAAAAAGAAGCCGGAATCCAGCGGCTTCCATCTCTTTCTCTTTTTCAAAAACCAAATCCCTGATTTCTTCCTCAATTTCTGCTGATTTTTTCTCCGATTCCGGTACTCCTATTTTCCTTCCTTTCTTTTCTTTTTTGTTCTTTTATTTTTTCTTGCTATGTCTTGCAGAATCATTTTGGTTTTGATGGTTATACTGTTGAAATTTTTGGTTTTTTAAATGTTTCCATATCGTTGTTAGTCGTTGGAAAATACTTTTTTTTTTTGTTTTTGCAAAACCTTGTAGAATGGTTGAATCAGTTACCTTAAATCAGTGGTATTTTAATTTTTAATTTCATTAGTTTTTAGATTGATGCAATAGATTAAGGAAAATAAACTAAAAATTCCGATTAGTTTTAGGATGCCTAGTGAAGTAATTCTATCTCATCGCTGCAAAATGATTAATGAGAATGCTTGGTCTTCTGTTCTGTTTTTTCGTTCTTCTGAATCATATGATTTTGTTGAACAAACGTAAAGGCAGTTTGTTCATATCAAACGGCCATTGACGTGGATGGAGCATTCTTTGTTGAAATGAATCCATCGAATATGTTATTTGAATATGATGTCTTGGCATGTTTGATATAGTATCCCCTTAACTTTGAAGGAATTCCTTGTTGCAAAATTTGCTTTCATGCATTCAAGATTGAAATGCATTAGATATGCTTTTACTGTAACACAGCCCTAAACTTATATGCTGATCAGGTTTTAAGACCAGAATGTTGCTCAATGACTTTGAGGATATACTGATCATAAATTAGATTCCGGACTGCTAACTCTCTTTTGAGTACATAGAGTGGACATTTTCACATCATAACCATCCTCCCCTAGCCTCTGTCTCTCCTCTTTTTAGATGATTGATATGTAAAAAATTATAAGTCCTTTAAAATAGTAAAATGGTTTTCTGATTTTCTTTCATCTATGGTGAATAAAGTGGTTCATACTGTTTTTCTTGCTTAGAGGGGAATGTAAAGTGGTGCATACTATATTTGAAATGTCAAGTTGATTATAATTCAAATTAAAGCAATTATAGTGAGTGCATAAACTTTTTTCCTTTTTTTTTTTAATTTTTATGATGCTCATTCTTTTCTTAAAATTGTTTTACATCTTATTCATCGCGAAGAACTGGAAGAATACAGATTCGAAGAGGCAACAGAAAATTCATCTTCTTAGACTGATTGGTTGAGGTACGTGCTCTGATATTGGTTTCTGGAAAGGAAACTATGGAGATAAAATCTTACCAAAATCAGGCTGAGCTGCTGGTAAAGGAATATTTACTAGCAGATTCCTTCATCCCATACACATCAGTTATTTGTGGCGTTTGTGCTTGCAAGATGGTATGTTTCCTAATCAATTTTATGATTCATTATTCAGTTTGAAAATAATTAATTGAGTTAGAGTGATGATTTGCATCTATATGAAGCTAATTCTTTTTAATCTTTTTCTTTATTGATGATTCTTTTTCATTGAGCTTTTGTTTCCTTTTAGTTTTTCTTGTTATTTCTCTCATTTCTTCTGTTTAAGCCTTTCTTATTTCTCTTCTACTATCTTTCCCTACTTTTTCTTCAAATTTTGACCATTATCCTTTTCCAGGTCTATGATCTTACACAGAAGTTTAGCAATATTTACTTCAAGAGCTACCCTAGCCTATCAAAAGTCCAACGCACTGAGTGGAGCAACCGGTGACTTATATTTCTAGTTAGCTTGAATATGTTATTACTATTTATTTTTATCGATACAGCATTAATGTGTGGATGGTTTATGCAGATCCATATCAACCTTTCATGCTGTTTTCATAACAGTTATGTCCTTATACTTCGTGTTTTGGTCAAATCTCTATTCTGACTACCAATATGCTGGCCCAGTTACTTTCCGCAGTTCTGCACTGTCTACATTCACGTTGGGGGTGAGGATACCTTTTTCTTTTCATCTTCAATTAAAACTTTTGGAATTGAGAGATAATATTTAATCATTGATATCTGGTCTTTTATTCTTGGTTTAGAATATTGGATATTACTAAGATGTTGATCTGCCGTACCTTTAATAACATGTCTTCATGATAATTGTTTTAGTCATGCACTTTGTTACATAAATCCCTCCAGAATGGTTTATTTTCACCATGTGTAGCATATCATTTAGAAGAAGCAATTAAGTTTTAAGTTTTCTTCATTGAATATTTAAATTTCTAGTGAATGGAAATATTACTAATATGATTTTATTTCATAAATTCAAATGATGTGGGTGGCATTGCCATTGATAGGAGAAATAATCGTGAATTGCTGTTGATTTTTTATGCTGAAATTGACTTCTCATTTACTAGGTTACCAATGAAGAGTTCTACAATATGTTTATCTATTAATATGTCATCCTTGATTATGTCTGCAATAGTGCAATTCTTATGTTTTAATGTAGTAAAGGCTCTATGGCATTTGGTTTCCTATTCCCCAACAGGATATAAAAATCTCCTTTGCCAAAATTCTTGTTTATGTATGAAACAAGAAATATAATCATGGTGCAAAAATATGCATTCATTTTAACACCATTTTACAAATTTTTAACAAACTGAACTTTAAGCTTAAGACTTGCATTTGTTGAACTTTAGATCAAACTCTGGCATTGAAACTTTATCGTAAGCTGGGTTCAATTTTCATGGGGATTTGCTAGGCTTGGTTCAATTTACCTCGGGTGTGAAGATTACTTATCAGAATAAATATCACCTATGTTACATATAGCTAGTTTGCAACAAACATATTTCACCATGACTGCAAATATGCAATTAAAAAGCTCCGTCTCCAACACTATCAATGTATAATCCCAGCCTGTGTCTGTCTCTAATCTTTCATGGCCACGTGGCATGGTCTGCTAACTGAATAAGTAAATCGCATCATGGTCGTGACCTTATATCTGTTATCATCATCAAATAATGGATATCTGGTGCAGGGCTAGTTCAATACAGACCTGTCTCACTTGAAGCTGATCAGTGGTTTGGCTATGAAGTTTCTTGAACCACCTTGCAACCAGCAGATTAGTCCTGGTCACCATGCTTGGAGCATGTTTAGTTGGAGCAGCCAGACCTAGGGACAATTTCTGCCAAATTATTTCTTCTGGCCTAGTATATTGATTCTCATGACTATGATAACTAAATCCTAAGAAAACTTACTAATAGCTCTTACTCTATTGACATGCCTATACTTTATGCCAGTTAGCACTATCCATATATCGATAATAGGATGCAATATCTAGATTGTGCTTGTTTTAGGATTTGGTTGGAGTAAGCTTTTGCTTTCCTTCATTTTGATATGGCTAAAATACTAAAAAGGCCCTTGTACTTTCTCAAATTTCTCAGATAAGACCAATTTACACAGTCTGTCTATTAAATAAGTTTTTAATGTGGCTGGAAACTAATTGTAGCACGGTTATATATACAAGAGGGAGTAATATTGCTGTAAATTCATCTTGCCGAAACTTTTCATTTTGTTTTAACACTTCCCTAGGTTTATATTTTATCACCTCTAGCTGTCTTCTAAGTAAATTAAGCTTACATGTCATTTTTTGAGGATTTTTTTGACAGGTATCTGTTGGTTACTTTCTTGCTGACATTGGGATGATCATTTGGTTTTACCCTTCTCTAGGTGGAATGGAGTATGTAAGTATTTTATTGTTTGATTATGATCTTGCCCCACCTTTTCTTCTTTCCATAGAAGCCTAGTTGGTGAGGACTGATATTCAATCTGATCCTGATGTAAATCAACCTAAAATCCTGTTATTTCAGGTCCTTCATCATCTTCTGTCAGTAGCAGGTGTAGCATATTCTATGTTGACTGGGGAGGGTCAGCTTTACACCTTCATGGTACTCATCTCTGAGACTACAACCCCTGGGATCAACTTGAGATGGTAAAAACTTATCTATATGCTAGTTCATTCCTTCTATCTGTCGATTATAAAATGCATATTACTTTTACTTTATGCTAAGGATAGACTGGGTTCATATAGGTATCTTGAGACAGCTGGAATGAAGAGATCCACAGCTTACTTAATTAATGGAGTTGTAATATTTGTTTCATGGCTGGTGAGTGAAATCAGTTTACTGCCTTCAGACTTTTTACTTTACTTTTAATGCTTGCATATATCCCTCCACAAATTTATAATAAAGTTAGTTATAATGAACTTTAATGTTTTTGCCAGGTTGCTAGAATACTCCTGTTTATGTATCTATTTTACCACATCTACTTGCACTATGATCAGGTAAAAAATTCCTACAAAACTTTATCTGGTGTCAGCCGTAGGTGTTTATTGTTTATTAGCATACTCGATGTTTTATCTAAATTTTTTTAAAACCATTTTGAATTCCAACTATTAAACTGCCTATATACTATTTTACTGAGTTACTATTTGATCCTCTATTAGTGTAATTTTTTAATTCTACAATCGGGGTTAAGGAATTGCACGTCCCATTTTTTTTTAATTAGTTTTTCTTATTTATTAAATATACCCTACGGGATATATTTATCACTCTATTAACTTCGCTTGTGAAATTTAAAAACTCCACTAACAGTAGATAAATTAATTTCTCTCTTTCTTTAGCTGACACATATTGTATGTAATGTGAGAACGTAGGTTTATTTTATTATTTGTTGTCCTAAGTACCGAGAAAACCTAAAGTCACTCCGGAACAGTAGTAAATCTTGATATAATACCCTAAATCATGTAGGCTTTGTTCTTAAAATGTAAATGTTGACATGGGTTGGCATTTAAATATCAATTTATTATCCTACAATTTTTTTTTTTTTCATTTTTATGACAAGTTTGGTCAATATGTTAACAGCCTACCACTGTTTTCTCCTGAAAACAGGTTAAGCTGGTGCACCACTTCGGGCTATTGTTAATATTCGTTGTGCCTTTAGTCCTTTCTGTTATGAACTTAATGTGGTTTGGAAAGATTATCAAGGGATTAAAGAAGACATTAGCGAAGAGACAGTGAAAAGGTACATTGAAACCGACTCTGATGAGGTGACATTGGCAAAGAAAATCCTTCTATCAGGCTTAATGTCATGTGCATTCGCACTCTCCACTTTGTTAATGTGTAAATGGTATAAAGGGTAGAGGTGAAAACCATACAGCCGTCGCAGTTTCTGATTCAATGTTACAAATTATCTTGTAATGCAGAAGCACGATTGATCGGATATGTACTTTCTAGCAATGTGGCAATTTATACTTTTAGACAAACTATATTATTATTAAATCTCAAATTTCATAATTTTCTCATTTAATGGAAACAATCAAATGTAAATATGCAAAAAGATCAATCTATACTTTAAGCAGACTACATTGTAAATCTCAAATTTCATAGTTCTGTGCTCTAACGAAGTCAATCAAATGTAGACATGTAAAAGGAAAAGAAAAATCAAGTATTGGCAAAAGAAAAGAAATTGACAATTACCTTAAAGATGAGAAAATCCTTTTCCTGCCTGAGAGAAATTTATCTTTCTACAATGATTTTCTTCCTCTCCTCCGTCTCTTTCTTATTCATTTTTCGTTTATGTTTTTTTGGACGCTTTATTTTCTTTTTAATCAAGGGCATTAAAATAAAATGATTCTTTTTTCTCTTTATCAATTATAAAATAAAAAATATTAAAACTATAATGACAACTGTTAATCAAGTAATACTTCAATTTGAGACTATTAATCATAGTTATTAATTTTGTTTCGGTATTAATTTTATCGATTGATAAATTTTAATTGTATCAAAATATGTTACACCTCAAGATAATTTTTTATTTTAAATTTAGTAGTGGGTAATACATATTATTTTCGTTGATTTTAATTGATTTAAGTGAATTTTGGTGGATTGAATTATTTTAGTGAGTACATGAATGTGAAATATATTTTATAATTTGTAATTTTTTTTTGTTTAACTATTTTTAGTCAAATAAAAATAAAATTAATTGATAAAATAACTCTTAAAAATTGAGTTTCTCTAATTTTTTTATTATAACTTATTTTCTTTTATACTTTATTTTTCAAACTAAAATTTATAAGTATTTCATTCTCTTTCAAAATAATAATCATGCTTTATTTTTAAAGTTTAACAATTATGAAACCAAGGTTAATTTTTTTCATCTCTTTATTTTTATCTTAATATTTGCATAAAAATATTTATTCAAATATTATACGATCAGATTAAATGTTCAAAAATATAATAAAAAATTTATGATATTATTTTTTATATTTTTAAATTTATTTATTTGACTTTTGAAGATATTGAATATTTATTTTTAAATTATTAATAAGATTCTAATGTATAAATTCATGTATATTTATAGATATATTTATACTAAATTAAAAATCTCAAATAAAATGTTAAAACTACTATACCACTTTTTTTTTTAAAATCAAAATATTATTAAGTACAAAATTAACAACCTTGCCATAAACAGTAAAAATAGAAGAGACTACTTTAATTTATAGTTATAGATTTTGGTTGAAAAACGTGTTTAGAAGTGTGATGATTTAGTTTAGTATTGTAATCTATTATCATCCCTATTAAATTTAATTCTTTCTTTTGATATCTTTTAATAAAAGAAATCATAATTAAAATTTATTTGAAAATTATTTGATATATATAATTATCAATTTTTATTAAATTAAATATGTTTTTGGATCTTTTGGTGAAATAAAACAAAAGAAAAGAAGAATGATAAAATTATAGAAAAAAACAAAGAAAAATGAAAATAGTATATGTGCACCTCTTTTATTATTTCAATTTATTATTTTCCTTTTATTTTCTCAATGTTTTTATTAATTTAAAGTGATTTAATAAAAATGAATATAAAATTTAATCATTTAATATTTTTAAAAAATCTTAAAATGTGGAATGTCAATATCCTAAATAGAGAATGGAGTACATGGTGCAGAAACTTTTTCTTTTCTTCTTCACTGAACTTGAAACATATTACAGATTTCAACTGGGCCATATACCATCTTAATTTCAGCAACGAAATCAATAAAGCAATTTACAGACCAATGACTGGCTGCATTGTAACAAGTCAAAATAAATAGCCATAAAAAAAAAAAAAACTCATAACTACTTGGAAGTACCCATAAGTGCTCTTCCGTAGGCCACTGGGAGTGATGCAAATTTCTTTGCTTTCCCTACATAAGCTCTTTTGGTGAAATTGTTATAGTCATTTTCTTCAATGGCATCTAAGATCTGTCGATATAGCAACAGTGATGCCCACACTGGCCATCTGCTAGCAGCATTTAGCTCTGCAACACCTTTTTCAGCCTCATCAAAGAACATCCTTGCTCGTTTTATTTGATCTTTCATAAAATTTCTCCACTTGTCTGTCACTTGTCCGCGAAATATGTCATCGTCTGATAGGCTGGCTTGTGCCAATTCATCTTGTGGTAGATATATTCTTCCTCTCCTAGCACTAGGGAAATTCAAACCACAGAGGCGTGGGTCATGTGAAAACACTTAAGAGTTCATCAGAAAGTAAAAAATTTTGGTACAATTGGACTTACTCTTCCCCAACATCTCTTAGTATATTAGTAAGCTGATTAGCAATTCCAAGGGCTAATGCGCATTGTAGACGCTCTCTGTCGATGCCTTCGATTCATGTGCAATCCCATTACTGGGACAGTCATTAGTCCAACTGTCCAGCAACATAGTAGCAATAAAGGTAAAGCTCATCAAAGTTCTTATATCTTGATTTCCTCAAATCTAACCTCATTCCCTCTATCATGTCCTTGAAGGGCTGCACAAAGAGATGAATTCATGGTTGATTTAGTTTCAGCACAAGGATTTTATAGCTGAGATGCAAAATATCCGGGTCTTTAGCTGTGTAAATGCAACAAAACCTGTATGTCTACAGGGTACTTTGAGACAGTATCAGACAAAGCAGCATCAAGCATATCATACGGACGACCTTCGAAAAGGTCATCTAATCTTTTCTCCCATCTGTCAAGAGCCCTGGGCGTAATGTGTAAAGCATTAGGTCCATCCACAAGCTCATCAGTCCTCCGACACCACACTGCACAATAGAGGGATATATTGATTACAACTGTGAAACATTATCCAGCAAAGACGTCGACACAGTTAAATATTCACCGATGTTGTTGATTGCAATTCTTTTTACTAACCATCTACATTTATTACAAAGAAGCAGAATTGTCACAAATTTTGAAGACCAAACAAGAATCCCTTAACTGTGACTTTTGCTATTGGCCAAAAGATGCATCCTAAAACACCTAAAACCAGTGCTTTATCATTTGCCACAAAAAGCAGGGAAGGTCCAATAATGATATGTACCACAAACATGACAAAGAGGAATCACTTTGAACGACTTAAAGACGTAAGCGACCATTCATGAACCCAGAACTTAGCTTAATTGGCATGTGCAGCCACTTTTAAAAAGTGGCATCGGCAGGATTCAAATCTTAATAATTACGACCCTTTTCCTTATTCCCAACTGCGACCTCCTTTGTAAGAAAAAAAAAAAAACCAATCATACATACCGTAAATTGCCCACACAGCTCTCCGACGCTCTGGCGTCATAAGTAATGTACCTGCAAAGAACAACAGACATTTGTGAATATGAAATTTCGATGTTCTTGTTATCCTGAAGAGTGGTCATTTAGAAAATCTTAAATTTTGAACAAATAAAGTACCATTACTACTTTAAATACAACCATTATTTGTTCAGTTGGACAGGAACCTACAATGAGATGAGATGGAACTTGTTGGCTTTTATGTAGGAACTATCACGGTAATGCTCCCCCAACTTTTTTTTGCTACATATTAAAACCAGCATTCTTGACTGTAACATTGTAATAGATGTTACAATGACAAAAGAGCGACCATGAAAATCTTTTGCAAGTATTATTGAGGATGGAAAGGTGAAAGGAAAATATTAAATTTTTTTTGGATTTTTTCTGCCATTTCTCGCAACCAAACAGCCTAATGCTAGGAGAAAAATAAAAAGTATTGTATAATAATAATAATAATAATAATAATGAAAGGATTGAACCCATTTGTGAACTTTTAAAAACTATAATAATAATGCGATCATAAACTATTACCAAAAGTAAGATCTAAAATTTTATATGTTGAAAAAACATTCAACTAATACTTTTTAAATGAATTGACCACAACCAAAAAAAAGAAGAAAGAAAACAAAGTGAAGTTACCTAATGATCACAAGAATTTTACTGCAAAACGGTAAAGCAAAAGTAGAAAAAGAGGGGGCTCAAGAGCAACTACCCAAGTAGAAAGTTTTAGCATACTCAGCACAAACTTCACCACACCGATCATAAGCTTCATTCAAGAGATCCCAATCTGTCAAACCATCAGTTTTAGCAGTTCTTTTCAAATCCAAAGCTTTCTTTTGCCTCTGTTCTTTGACCAAAGCAGCCTGCTTCAACACCACCTCATAGACCTTCTGCTCTGAGGATCTCGCCGGATTAGCGACTGCACTTGAAAAGGCTGCTGAGACCCCAGTTGAAAACTTCAGTCCTGTACACAACCTAGACCCCTTCTGTTTCCCACTTCTTGGTATGAATCTAAGTAAAGCGGTGGCATTCTCTTTGGGAGTTATCACCCAAAGAAGAACACCCGCCATGTTGAAAGAGCAGTCCAATTATGTCTTTGGGTCACTCTTTGTTTTCGTTTCTGGTTTGGTTTTGAACCAGCAGAGAGGGTTGGGAAAGATGAGTAAAAGATGTATGAAATTTTGGGTGTTGGGCAATTAATTGAAACCAGCAAATGGATAGAAGCAGTAGTTTGTTGAGTTGGAGCTAATTTTTTTAAGCAAATGACCACCACTGATCTTCTCAAAGACAAAGGATATGCACGCTAAAAAGGCAAAAGATACTGTTCCATATAAGCTAATTGGCAGGAATATGCCAGCCCCATCACTCCTGATCTAACGCATGTATTTCTGTGGATACTATTTCGTCGTACAAATATAGAATTTAAACTACATTTTTCCATATATGACAAAAAGAAAAAAAAAACCTTTGGAATTAAAATTTAATAATTATTTAAAATTTTGTTATTTTTTAATTAATTAAATTTATAAATATTTATTTTCATCGAGTCATAAAAAAATTATTAATTATTTTATTCAATTAAAAATTTAAATAAATTAAAAAATACTTAAAATTTTAATTAAATAAAAATAGATATTTATAAATTTTTTTGAAATAAAAAATAAAAAAATTAATTAATTATAATAAAATATCAAAATTTTAAATTTTTATTTAAGAAATTTTTTATTCTTTTACCGTTATATATATATATATATATATATACTATTTTCATCCATAAAGTTCTAAAATTGTGACATATGACAATATGAGTCAGCATTGGTTTTATGCTCTGTATTTGTT